GAGATGAGACAGTAGGCATCCTGCTTATTTCTTTCTGTATCTTATAAGGCTTTATTAGTTTTCCATTAACAGTTATTTGTGCTTTCTGTGAAGCATAAATCAATCTTAATCTATTTTATAAAGTTCTCTCCAAGATATGAGAATATGACATAAAAAAATTAATGCCACTTCTTTTTCATTATGTTGTTTTAAATATTCCAAAATGTCCCAACACACTTCTAATATTGTCTTTTAATTATCTTTCAAGTAAAAAAAACAAAAAACAAACCTCTGTAATTTTATACGCTTTTGAAGAGGGACATGTTCAGCTATAATATAAACCTTAAATGGGCCTGATACTTTAAAAAAACAAGCATATACACAAACCCTATAAGCTCCCAAAATGCCCCCCCTCTCAAAAACCCCTCTTTGAATATCACGGTCCAATATACTCAGTATCATTCTACTGCCCATTGAGACCTTCACTTACGAAGGCGGGGAAGTATTACACGCTGTACTCAGCTTCCAAAACATGCCCACCCTCTCCTGATGAGTGGGAGCTCATATGACTTCCCAAATGAGAGAAAAATGAACTCCTGATCACAGCAGCTTCTCTTTTATTCTGACCATTGTCTGTCTTCTTGCTTAGCAGCCAGAACATAACATTGTTTGCATGATATTATTTAATTTACATAAAAGTTAAAGTTTACAGTAAGCTTCAAAACTGGAAGCATAACAATTATGCAAGCATCTGTCACAAGAAGAGCTTGCAATCAACAACCACTACAGTAAGGGTGTGTCTGTGCTTTGCGTATCTGGCTGTCAAAGCAGAACTGAAAGAGGAAAGGAAACCTAGAATCCCCTTAATTATGACTATACTTCTAGTAATAATTCTGCTACGTACTGTATTATGTACTGCTTTCACCATTCTCACACCAGTCCCATGAGAAATAAACGCTCCATATACTAGCTGGGAACTCAGCCCATCTAACCAAAGTGGCGCACGAAGGAGATACTAGAACAGGAGTGCCAAACTCATGTCATCACATGAGGTATCGTGACGTTTTTTCCCCTCTGATAAAATGGGCATGGGCATGGCCCGCAGGCTGGGAGTTTGACAGCCCTCTACTAGAACATGTGTGTGTGTATGTGATAGTAGGGAGACAGATATGAGCTGTCTTACAGCTGAGATAAGTGAGCAGTCTTGGATAGGGCACTGCTAACCAAATTATCAATTCTGACTTCTCCATGGTACAATATTTGGTACATCTGGAGAGCCTAATTAAATACGATTTGGCAATAATTGGCTTTTTTTTCTATAGAAGGAATCCAAAATAGCCTTATTAGTATTTTTAAAACTGTCGAAATCCTTGCAAGGGTAATACATTATACAGATTATTTTGTGACCTGTGGATTGCCCCCAAGCTGGATTTTAGAATCTTTATATGAGCAACTGTTGTTAGTAGAAATGATACCATCTGACTTTTTATCATTTTATTGATTAGGAAATGAAAACTGCATTGAATTCACTATGATCACACATTACTTTAATTGATAAAGTTTTGGAACTATAATAGCTGTAAATATAATAATTACAATTGGTTATTGCCATTTTGATTTTGAAAGAAGGCAGTACAGGTAGTGCTTAAACAATTCACTTAGTGACCATTTGAAGTTACCATGGCACTGAAAAAAGTAATCATTTTGACACTTATGACCTTTGCAACATCCCCCATGGTCACATGATTTATATTCAGATGTTTGACAACTTACTCATTTATGTCCCGTGACCCCCCCTTGTGTGACCTTCTGACATGCAAAGTCAATGGGGAAGCCAGATTCACTTAACAACTGTATTACTAACTTAACAACTGCAGTGATTCACTTAACAAATGTGGCAAGGGTAGTTGTAAAATGGGGCAAAACTTACTCAACAAATTTCTCACTTAGCAGCAAAAATTTTGGGCTCAATTGTGGAAGTAAGTTGAGGACTACCTGTATATTTCTAACTGGGCTCTTTATTAGCTTTCTGCTAAAAATGGTCTTCCCTTACAGCAAACAAAACCTTTATAACTTCTGTCCAAGGAAGACACAGCTTTTATGAGAAACTGGATGATGGTCCAATAACATTATTAAGTATTTTTCCGTAGAATGTGAGAAAACAGCTAAGTCTGCTTTTGAGAAACTGCTTACAATGCTAACAATTCTACCATGTTGAAAGAGATTATTCATTTTAAGTCTTGATTTTTAAAAATATTATTTAATATGTTTGTATAGCCTTATATTTTCTGTTCTAAGACCACAAAGCAATAAAGATTTTTATCATCTCTTTTTAATATTAACTTTTAGAACAAATAGCTCTATTGATACTGAAAAGTACTAGGGTCTAATTTATATAGACATGTTTTTTTGTTCTCCTACAGAACATGTGTTTCTGATTATTTTGTCATGCTGGTAATCTGTCACATGATGGTATATTAATTTATTAGCTGCCAGTAATACAGGTTTACATAAGTCTGTTGACTACAAATCTGATATTTGGTGTTCTTTGAGTGTTGTACTGATAGTACTTTAAATTAAAGGGCCTTTTCCACAGATACATTAGCACCATTAACTTCTTTACGTGGTGATGCTTTATCCAAACAACTACAAACCAGCAGCATTTGAGTGCTTATCCTGTTACTGAGTTTAAAAGATATTTGCACTAATATCCCAAATGGCTTCAACATATGTCTTGATTATAGGTGGTGATACAGAAAAGTATTTTCTAAAAGGAAAAATATTGTAATGTTTTATTTTCCTGTAGGAAACTTTCTATCTCGCATCACTAGTGATGCTCATTTGCTTATGCAAATTAGACCAAGTTTCATAAGGAATAAAATTTTGAAATATTTTTGGATACAAGATGAATTTTTGGATACAAATTTGAAAGTGCACTTTGAAATCACATTATCCTCGTATTATGCTGTAATTTCAGTTTTCATAATAATCATGCAGAGTTAATTTAACTTTCCTGATTAGGGAAAAGAAAAATACAATTCAGTCTTCCTTTTCCCAAAACAAAAAAAAACAACATCCCTAGCAGCCCTGTGATTGTGTTTTCTTCAAACGTTCCTGCCTAGTCTGAGGTCATGTCCTTTGAAATTGAAAAAGAGGAGTATGATGTGTCCCCTTTTTGCTGATATCACATGCAGAGAACACACCTTTTTCTATGTAGTGAACAACTCCCAGTTCCTCAGGAACTCTGATTGGCTTAGCAGAGAGGCTGTGCCCTATAAATATACCTCTTTTGCTTTTCAAAACCACTTGCAGAAAAGACGGTAAGCTGGTTATCTGGCATCATCTGTTTTTCATAGGGAGTGGGAAAGTTTGTAGGTTGTTTTTTTACTGAATTGAAAGCAGTTTTTTTTTCTATCTCTAATATTGTGAAGTAAAGCTGAAAGAAAATGTATCTAGTAGTGTGTTGATCATTTTTCCTGAAAAAATATTTTACTGATTTGTAAGACATTGTATTAATATTAAAGTTAGTTAAGCGCTTTGTGCATTTTAGGGGATATTCTAAACTTGGTGAATTCTGAAAAAAAATGTTTCAAGATGGTTGGTGTGGGTTTTTTAGTTTAGGGATTTTTTCATTTTTTTATTATCAATTGTTAAATCATCCTGTGAACTGCTATAGAGTCAGGAGTCTCTAAATTCAATGATTATAATAATGATTATTAACCTTTCTAATATTTGAAGTATAGTTTCTTGAATGGGGTTGGTTCATTTGCAAAGAATGAAGAAAAATTCTATAATTTCATCAGTATCTGGAGTTTGTAACTTCACTTCTTAACATTTATGTTAGCTTGATAGCACAACAAATGTTAACTGATTGATTCTAAAGAGAGATGATGTGGCAGTCACTAAAACAGTGAATAATGAAGTATTCTGTTTTTAGATTCCACTCACAGTAAAACCCAAACCAAGCTGCTAAAGTTGTAGTTTGGCTGTGAGCTGAATAGCAGGATATATTTTTGGTTTGTGGTTTCTGAAAGAGGATACATTTTGCAGTATCTCTCTATTTCAAGGAGGGGAATTCCTGAACTGGAGATTATTTATATATTTTAATTTGAACAGATGCAACACTTTCTACTCAAGTTATGTGAATATTTGGCAGCCTTAATAAGATGGCTACAATTTATGGAAATTATCTATGGAACATATTACATTTTTTAATATTGAATGCTCTGTAGAAATATCATTGCTGTTGATTTTAACAAATAATCAGAATACAATTATATGTGTGGCTGGGAACTGGAAGTATTACCTGCATTGAATCAAACATGTCCAGATAATCCACTATATGCTTTGGCCATTAAAGGTACTTTTGCTGAAATTCAGCAGCACGATCTTGGGATTGATAACCAAGGGGCTCAAAGTCTGTGGATTGCTCATCTCTAATCTGCAGCAGCCTTTCCTAATTTGTTGTTTTTCAAATATGTTGTGAGGGCAATTCACTCCATCCCCAGCCAACTCAGCAGTGGCTGCTTAATTAAAAATTGTGGGAATTATTGGTGCATGTGTTTAAACAGCTTCAAATTGGGAAGGGTTAACCAAACACCAAAAATAGGCAGTCTTTTATGGCAAAGTACATCTGAAGTTTGTGGAATGTGACACATAAAATAGCAAGAGTGGCATGGCTACTTACAACCTTCCCATTTATTAGGAGAACTAGCTTCTAAACATTATCCTATTGAGGACTTGGTGAATCTTAAACACATTGCAGATAATAAATAGGTTTTTAGATACTGGCTTATATTTGGAGTATGCCAGCATCTTATTTATTTTATTATATATTTAAAAATCAGGAGGTATAGGGCATTTGGTAGTATCAAAGCAGATTGATGAAGAACATATGTGTTGCAGCTGACAGCTGTTGTTTCTATCCCTTTTATTGGTAACTTGCCAGAACTTCAGAAATCAATCTGGTCACTTTGCAGTGATGAAAACCTATTCAATGGATTTCTTCTTTTCTTTTCCAGCACATTTGAAAAATGCCTGCCATCAAGAATTTGAGCTGTGCTGTTAAACATCTGTTGAACAAACCTGGCTGTGGTTGTCAGGTTGCTCTTGTGCCAGCTAGAGGTCTTAGCATTTCACCCCGGCAGGTGCCATCGGATGCCAGCTTTCATTCAGTATGTTTTTCAGAAACTGATCACCCTCGGGTGTTAATTACAGGTCAGCCAAATTTTAGATGCTACTTTGAATTGTTTAATATGAGATTTTTTTTTTTACCCAATTGTATCTGATCATGTGAATTGATATTCATTTGGTTTCTATTTAAACACAAGTTTTATGTGGCACTTAAATAAGTTGGAGCACAAACTTCGTTAGAAAATGGTTCAACTCTTCTTAATCCAGACTATAGCAATTCCATCATTAAAGAAGAATAGATTTGCCTCCAAAGCAATTCTAGATGTCACTAGGACTTTGGAAAAAAAGAATCTAGTTCCCACCTGCATGGCAGATTATTTTCCCCAACAGCCAGAGACTTAAAAGATAAGGGTGCTTATCTTTTATCAGGTGGTTACTACTCTTATCAGTCACAATTTACAGCCCCTTAGCAAGGTTCAAAATAATCTCCTTCAAGCTGCCTTTCTATAACTATTTCTGTACACTTGATGCATTCTGGATTCTGTTTACTAGAATCCTTATATCTTCTTTCCCCTTTCTGATGCCCTTCAAATATTTCCACTGGCCAAGCTAATTTATAATGGGTATTATATGTCTACAGAACTAAAGAACATAGTATAGACAGATGACCTTTAAAGGCATCTTATGCATAAAAAAAGTAATTCAATTCAGCCATTTTCAATAATTTACATCTGTAAAAGTGCCAAGGTTTAACTAGTCAATTAAACTTTTCTGTGAACTTTTCTAGGAACATCAGCATCTCCTGCGCTTGGATAGTCCTTATAAATGAGATAAAAAAAATAAATTTCCAACTATAATTTACAAACATTATATTCTTGCTTTTCAGGGGGACTTGGCCAGCTTGGAGTAGGACTTGCTAAATTGCTACGGTAAGACATAACCTTCATTTCTTCTGTTAACAATGTTATCTTTTATTAAGGTTATATGCCTTCCTGTATTTTAATTTTTTCTTGCATCCATGATATGCAGCTACAGATGAGCCATTGCTTTTCTAATATATTATCTTGACCCTATTTTGGGGCTGGGGAGATGGGGTGGAAAAAGAAAATAATACAATCTGTTCCTAGTTGTTTACATTTATTTTGGAGAGTGATAGGGTGGTGGTTGGAAACATCAGTATTATGGAGTGCAGAATATATGGTTTAAAAATGCATCTCAAATGCAGAGTAAGTTTTGCTCTAAAAGCTGTGTTCAAAATGAAAATGAAATATTACTTATGGTATCTTCTCCAGAAAACGCTTTGGAAAGAACAATGTGATTTTGTCAGATATTAGAAAGCCCCCGGACAGTGTCTTCTATAGTGGTGAGTACCATATTAAACAAAGAGAAATATTTAGTGATTATTTTCTAGGACTTACAGTTTTTTCTACAAGGATATTTTATTTTAGTTAAACCTTAGGTTTTTGGATATTAATCCTTACAATCATCCTTGAAGTCATATGACTCAAGCTTATAAGTTACTCTCCAGTTTTTCCCCCTCTTTCAGACTGTGAGTGTTGCCCACAATGAAAGATATGTTTGTTATAATCCAGCCATAAGAAAATAGAATAACAAATATAATGTTATGTACATTGTTTAATTGGCTTTGAGCAGAAGAGTATCAACATGATAGAGTACTCTTATAGCTTGGAAGCATTAGAGCATGAAAGGACATAATTGAATCATTGTAATATTGTTTTTGTCACAGGGTTTTTTCAGTTCTTCAGAAACCTTGCAGAAATTGATGGGAGATTAGTGTCAAATTATGTCAAAGAAGATGTATTTAATTTGACCTAAGCTAATTTGCTTGTTGCTAACTCATTGCCTGAGTTTTTAATATGAGAGGATATGTAAAAGAAAATGCTGCGACAGCCCATGCAGGAAATACATATTTAAAGCAATGTTTCAATTGCTGTATCAACCTCAATTTTGGCCAACCAACATGGTTTCTGCCCAGGTCATGCCTCCTTTACTATACTCACTGAAATGAGCTCTCTGCCCCAAGTGTTATATGCTCTACAAAATGATGTGCTGTGCAACTTTTTAAAATACAAAATTCTGTTCAAAGACAGTATAAGTGGTCTGTCATAGTATTACTCTCCAAGAAGCAAAGAAGTTAAACTAAAAACTGTTCTTTGAAACAAGCATAATTTTTATTAAGTAAAATCTGTGTTTCTAAACCCACTCTCATACTGTCTCAATGCATAGCTTTTTCAGAGGGTCTTGTTCTTATTGTGTATGCTAAATACTTTGTTACGATCTAGGATAAAATAAAAATTTGTAGGTCTTCAAACAATGTTTATCCTAGATAAAATGAAATTCATTCCAAATATATCAAAGCCCTGCTGCAATTCAAATGTGTTCATTTTTAGTGACTTTGTATAGATGACCCATAGTATATATGGACATATACATCATGCACTTGCATATCTTACAGTACATATCTGTCCATGTTACTGCATTGCAAATACCGTATTCATAAAAAAAACAGGGAATTAGAAATTGTGGAAATTGTAATGCATTCATCAAATTCCTTCTTTAATGGAAAATATCATTGTATTTACAAGCTATTGACATCTTTGGCACAGCATGGATTATTTTAAACCACCTTTTTACACTTAGGTCCTTTCATCTACTCTGATATTTTGGATTACAAGAATCTTCGTGAGATTGTGGTGAACAACAGGATTACTTGGCTATTTCATTACAGTGCTTTGCTCAGTGCAGTTGGAGAAGCTAATGTCCCTTTGGCAAGATCTGTGAATATTACTGGTATGTCTTAACATATTTATAGTTGTTTGTTTAGGTATACCTACTGTACTATAGAAGTCTTGTTATTTCTTTTTTTTTCTTTTTGGTTTGGGCTTAAAAATGCTTGTTTGCTGTTCCCAGGGCTGCACAACATTCTTGATATAGCTGCTGAGCATGGTTTGCGACTCTTTGTTCCTAGCACAATTGGTGCCTTTGGACCAACTTCCCCTAGGAATCCAACCCCTGATCTTTGTATCCAAAGGCCAAGGACAATCTATGGAGTTTCCAAGGTTCATGCTGAACTCATGGGAGAGGTAATGATAACCATTTTGTTGTAAGAATGCCTTGTTCTTTCACAGTCAGGTATATAAATAGGAAGTGCTATAAAAGCCAGTAGCTAAATTTTCCTTTCCTTTTTATTCTTATAACTGGTTTTTGAGTTTTGTTATATTGCTTTTGCACTGACACTCTTAATTGTAGCCTTTGCAGTTTCAATTATAAGAGAAATCAAATAGCAACACACATTTGAAAATGAGTAGGCTTTCTCCAGCACGACGATTAGAGAATCCAATGAGTAGGCTTTCTAAGCAGTATGTTTTTAGTAACTACAATGTCAAAACCATATGTAATCTGTTGAGCAAAGCTGATAAATACTGGAGAACAATTTGTTTTTCAAAGATTCTTGACCATTGGATTGTGTGCAGATTCAAGTGGCTAAGAACCAGTGTACTATATAAGATGGTATCAGAAATGTGAATTGCTGGGTTTCTTATATCTGGATAATCCATAAATGTTTGGCAAATATGTCAATGATAGCCTTCTGAAGTTTCAAGCTATGAGTCTTCTGTTACAGTAGTCTGAAGACAGGTTAGCTAAATCCATTTCAGGTACCTGAATGTTTGTTGCCATCTTAAATAAATTTTCAGCACACATGAACACAGCTATAATAAGCATCAGCTCTACTGCAGCAAGATCTGTATTTTAGAAATGGAAGGAACACATCTGTATTTTGTATTAATATATTTATGTTCTATATTATTATTTTACTATGATCATTTTGAGGCCAGTTTGGTGTCATGGGTAAAGACACCAAGCTAGAAACTGTAAGATCTAATCCTGCCTTAGGCACAAAGCCTGCTGGGCAACATGGGCTCTCTAGTCCCCAGAAAGAAGAAACCAGACAAGCCACAAATGTCAAGAAAACTGCAGGGACATTAACTGGTTCATTTTATTTAAAAAACAACAACAACCCTCATATGCCACAATTCTACTGTATTTCAGTTAGCTTTTTTTTTCTTTAAATGACCCAGCAGTAGAAACAGAAATTTTCTGGTGTTAATGAAAAGATGCAGAGCTAAGCAGTTTTTCTCGCCTATCGCTATGAATCTATGGCTTTTTGAGACTGAAAATCTTTCTTTGGCAAGCCATTTCAGTTTCCACTAGACCACAGGTATCAAACTCGTGCTAGCCATGCCCATCCCCGGTTTAGTGAAGGGGGAAAAAGTTGCAATACATCACGTGATGACAACATGAAGCCACGAGTTTGACACCACCGTACTAGACTGTTTCTTTGGATTTGGAGTTCAGAATGCAGCCAAGAAGACACCATATTGCTGCCTGTGCAGTATTCCTGCTCCCCAAGGCCAATTCTCTTCCACTATCCTTTTGACAGAAACTGTCCTTCCTTCTCCTCACTAGCTTCTCATGCTTCTGGTTTCATTTGATTTGCCCCTGCCTCTTTCTAATTCTTTCTAATTTTAACTCCTACATGTATGCTCCCATCAACAAAAATCAAGACCCCTTTTAATTAAGGTCTTGGAACCCATGGAAATTAATACCGATTTTCTGAAGATGTAAGCGGCAAAATGTGAAATTTATTTATTCATTGAAACAGTCAATTTATATAACCACAAATGCCTCCAGAGAAATTAACATCCATGCAGAACAGGTTTTTCTGGTGCTTTTGGGTACTAGCGAGTCATGTCATGTCAGGCTTTAATGCAAACTCTGCCATTTACTATATATGATTATTATTTACAGCGAATGTTGTCTCTAGAAACATATGATTTTATAGTAATCATTCTCACCAATATAGAACATAAAGCTTCGATTTGCAACAAGTAATTCAATCTGTATTGGCACAAATCACAATTAATGGTACATTTCATTTCTTTTTCTTTCCCCCTTTTAATTTTGTGTGTGTGTGTGTGTGTTAGTACTATCATTATAGATATGGGCTAGATTTCCGGTGTCTAAGGTATCCTGGCATTATCTCAGCAGATTCCCAGCCTGGTGGAGGAACAACTGGTAAGGAAGCTGATGCAGTCCAATCTTTTATTTTTATATTGACCGGCGAGTAATTTAACCCATAAAATATAAAGGTAAAACCACAAGAAAAGTGGTTCTGCTTATGTTTGTGAAGTATGTATTTTTCATGCAAAAGCCATTCTCCGTAAGTCTCTGACAGGCAGTCAGAAAAACTAGAGGGGATGGAAGCAAAAAACATAGGCTGAGGAAAGGCTACTGGGTGCTTCTGAGATTATTTCTTTAGCTTGCCCTGCCCTTTTTCTCCCTCTGATGGTTACCTTTTATTCTTCATTTCTGAACTCCTGGAAATGAAAACTTGCTAGTAGAAACTACCAGGTTGCTCAGATTTTGGTAAGGAATGTGTTCTAAACCAGCGTCTAAATGACAGTTCTTTTTTAACATACATTTATGCATTTTTCTTTTAAATCTACATGAATAATTCCAAAGGTGCTTTTTCCAAGAGACAACTGGACCTTCTTGTTTTTCTTTGAATATATTTCACTTCTCATCCAAGAAGCTTCTTCAGCTCTGACTGGATGGTGTGGAATGGAAGGATTTCAGTGAAGGGACACAGGGCACAGAAAACAGGGCATAGAAAACATCCTGCAGGAAGCACAGCTCCACAACACAGTCCTTTGCAGTTCCAAGAAGGCTCACGCCCATTACTCAAAAAAGGCAAATGTTGTGCAGCCTTCTTGGAACTACAGAAAGGACTGTGTTGTGGAGCTGTGCTTTTTGCAGGATGTTTTCTGCCCTGTGTCCCTTCACTGAAATCCTTCCATTCCCCACCATTCAGTCAGAGCTGAAGAAGCTTCTTGGATGAGAAGCAAAACATTTTCAAAGAAAAACAAGAAAGTCCAGTTGAAAAAGCAACTTTGAGACAACCATGACCTGGATGACTGAGAGTCTCCATAGAATTTTAGCTGCATGAATAATGTAAATAAATAAATGTAGTTTGGGCCTAGACTATAAAAGGTACACTTGAAACATTCACCTCTATTTTAATTAATACAGTTCCTGTTAAGCTTTCACTGTGTTTCATAATAATTTACTCTTCTAAGCATCCTTTCATTTTACCTTTTGATAATCAATTACCATATTGATAATGTTTTTTTTATATGTAACTGGAGTTCCAATTAATGTTATATCACCTGAACCAGGCATGCTGCCATCTTTTCTTTTTCTACTAGATTATGCAGTCCAAATTTTCCATGATGCTCTCAAGACTGGAAAATTCGAATGTAATCTTAAACCAGATACCCACTTGCCAATGATGTATATCGATGACTGTCTTAGAGCTTCTTTGGAGATCATGGAAGCACCTGCTGAGCAGCTGAGCATGAGGACTTACAACATCAATGCCATGAGCTTTTCACCTGAGGAGCTGGTTCAAGAGGTCCAGAAGCATATTCCAGAACTTGAAGTTTCCTACAATGTAGATCTTGTTAGACAAGCCATTGGTTAGTACCTGGCTTTGGCTTTTACAATGCTGCATGAAGCTATGTGCATGAAGCTATGACAACGGGCTGGGACAATTTTGTTCTTTCAAACTGAGAGATTTTTTTTGAGAAAGTATACAAGATTGAAATTTCATTGCTAGGCCCAGCAAAGACTTTAAGCTGCTTAATTGCACCAGCTATATACTGTAGATGGACCTCACTTTTATTTTAAAAATGAGTCCCAAGCTGCAAAAATTCAGCTTTTACCTTTTGTTTTTGTACCTTTTCAGGAATCCATATAAGATATAAACTTTGTGACAAAGTGTGCATTGAAACTTTAAGCTGGATTTTCTACCTGCTAAGGGGGTGACTTTCAAATGGGATTGTAATGACTGGGTTTTAAAAGTTCTTAAATGTGCATGCAGATACCTTAAAGAATATACTTTATCTCCAGTGAGAAAGAAATCTGTTAAGCATACAAAGCTGCTTTTTCTGCACTGCGTATTATAAGAGAGTTTTGACATCACCTCTCTTCTAACTGTTTTCTCTGTTTGAAAATTGGTGCTTTCTAAACTTCCTAAGTGGGAAAAAAGTGAAATTCTTGGGTTGGACTTTCAAAGCCCTTTGCCTTTGATTTAATATATATGTTTTTCTTTATTTTTGTTGAAGCTGACAGTTGGCCAATGGTTTTTGATGACAACAATGCCCGCCAAGATTGGGGATGGAAACATGATTATGATCTTCCAGACCTGGTGACCACCATGTTCAACTTCCTTACCTCTGTCCGTTCCGTGTCCAGAGTTGCTCAAGTCAGCTAAGTCTTTATATGATGCAGCCACCAGATGTCTCAGAAACACTTCATCTACTAAAATTTGAAGAGCCTGCTTTTCGAACATGATCATTGATTTCTCAGTTCACTTTTCTTTTTGCTAAAGAAATATACATGCATATACAGTATATTTGCTAAAGATATACACACATACACATACATGCATATACTGAGAAAAAGTTTGTATACACTTCTGAAAGCTGTCTATACCCTCAGGAAATACTTGTTCATTAACTGCAGTTACTCTCCTAATTCTAAAAGTTTATTTGGAATATACTCTTTTTTTTGTTGTTGTTTTGTTCTTTTATAGGGCTATACATGCTTCAGTAAGAATGTGGAAGGTGTACTTTGGAACTCATATGAACATATCATCCTTTTGCTATTCATTCAAGCTTCTGTCAAGCTTGAGGCTGACATTCTGTTTTTAAGGATTCTATTCAAGCCTGACCAAAAATGCTTCTGTAGAAGGCTGAAAAAAAATGGGCTAGTATAATGAGTGAGCAGAGAGATTCTGAGCTTGTGTAAGGATCAAAACATCTTTTCCTATTCATTTTGAAGTGTGCCCAACCTTAAAAACTACAACTAAAACTAAATTATGTCCTACCTTGAATTTCCTGGGCTATAAAATGTAGATAATATGGGAAGGAGAGGAGCATTAAAGAGAGACTTCACAAAAGGGAAACATATTCTCAACTTTGTTGATTTTTTGATAGTTTGTTCCACCTTAAAGTGCAAATTCTCCTGAACTTCCTACTCCCACATTCATAGAAAACTGAACACAACTATACAGTTCCCTGGAAGGATTAAATATTAGGTCTTATGTTTTTATTATTTACAAGCTCTATTTATTCACTAGAGCCCACCTACATTTTCATGAAGTGAAATTAGTATCAGGATGCTATAGTTTCTAAGAGAATACACTTCTGCATTGTTATAAATATCCAGGGGTGGGATTCTACTGTCTGTCCAGCTCTGTAGAACCGGTAGCTCTGAAGAGCAGCAGACACAGAACCGGTTCTGTGTCTGCTGCTGTTTTGGCCCACCCACCTGCCCAGGTTCTTACCTGTCCTTTATTTCCTGCTTTTTCAAGCTCAGCTGCTTTGCGCGGCACAGCTGCGGTTGAAAAAGCAGGAAAATAGTGCTGTTTCAAACACTGCGCACCTGTGCGCAGTGCTGCTCAGCTGTCCAGGCAGCACAGCTGACGACGTTTCAAAACGTAAATCACCGAACCAGTAGTTACACCGGTCAGGTCCCACTCCTGCAAATATCCCCCAAGTTTGTAACACTAGGAAGCAAATGCCCGGAAAAACCTGGGGGATACTTGCAGTAATGATAGCTGCAAGCTGGGCAGCTGGAAAATTGCGTTAGATCATTTTGGATCTATGACGTGAATAATGCTATGGAAATTCAAACTAGATTTCATTAAAAAAAAACTCATTAAATATGTGAATCGGTCATTTCCTGTTTATAAATTATGGTACTTTGGGATACACGTCTATATTTTTAGGCATTTTGGCATCACTGAAAATACAAGATTTAAAAATACAGTTTAATTATTTCCCCAACCTACTATAAACGTGTTCAGTTGCCTATGAAAGTGATTTTTTTCCTCCTCTGTTTGCCTTTGTTTTATATTGATACCTTCAACATTCCATAGCCCAGGCTAATTTATAGACAGGTACTGTTTGCTCAGCCTTGAGTATTTTTTTATTCTGTACTGTATGTAAAAGTAGGACCAGTCCATAGAAACCTTGGCCCTGAATTAGGCAAGAATGTATCCTCCTTTTAGAGCACAGGGGAATAAAATGTGAATCCAGATATTTCCTCTTCCAGTACTCCTTTGTTCTCAACATTCCTAAGGCTTTGGAATTTTTCTGAAATACTTGTATTTTCTGAAATACTCAAGTTAATGGTCATTTTTTAGCAACCCTGAATCAGTTTCCAATTGAAGAGCCCTAGACCAGCAATGTTTCCTTTGACAAGGTATAAGCATATTTAACATCTATATATTGTGAATTATATGCCCCACAATTTCAAAAAGCTCTGAGAACCTTACAGATGATATAAAAATAACCATAATTAAAAGGAAATAACCAAACCTAATAACAATCCCCACTGATACCAAGGAAAATAGTATTGGTAATAATGTTCACAATTGCAGGAAGGGGACTGCTGCGTCATCAGTCCTCAAAGACTTTCCAAAAAGAGTCTTCAGTTTGGCAGCTTTCCTGAACACAAAGAGTTGGTACTGTTCCAAACATCCAGCTTCATGGCCACTCTGATAAGAATAGGCAGTTGTTTTTGTACCACTGTTGTGGGCTTTCTGAAGGCATGGTTTGAAGTGGAATACATGAACATTTTAATTACTCAGTGGCCTACTGATGGTCTACATCTCCATGTGAAGGGATGGTTGTCTTTTATCGTTTCTTTAGATCTGTTTTTTTATCCCATTTTTATTTTTATGAGTTACTCAAAATGGTGGACCTATCTAATACTCCTTCCTTTTCCTATTTTCCTCACAACAACCATGTAAGGTGAGCTTAGCTGAGTGTGTGACTGGTCCAAAGCTACCCAGTCAACTTTCATGCCTTATTACCCCTTGAATTTTCAAGAGATATAGGGTGTGCTCATATATTTCATTGTTTGTTACATTTCTGTGCATGCCACAAGCATTTACGCTGCAATGCAGTAGACATATTGCCTACATTTAGAATCTCACTTGTAATTCTAACTTTGAGAGAGGATTTGGACTTTTGGTCATAGCTGTTCAGATGATACTTTTGGCCCAATGGGTCCACTAAGCAAAATCTAATCAAATAAGATTACAATGTAAAGAACTTAAAAATAGTTTCCAAACACAGATCACTATGATGTTGAAAAACAGTCACAAGTATTTTCTTTATTAAATACAAATGTGCTGAGTTAATTATATAACTGTCCTTTTTTCTGTAATAATTCATAAGCAAGATTTTTTTTATTGTTCAGTCTGATTTATGATAAAATGCTGGAAGATGACTGGCTATTCTGGTGAGATCAGCATATTAAAATCAAAATTCCTGTATTTGGGCAAAGATTTGGTCTCTTGAATTTTAATTACTGTTTTATCAAGATATTAAAGATTATGTTTCCCTTGTGGAATACATTATAGACAAACTTTTGTATTACTCTGTATGTCCAATGACTAATGGGATTTAGCATTCATGGATGAAAGGTTATTCATTAATTTATTCCAAGGGTCTTCAAACTTGGCATGTTTAAGACTTGTGGACTTCAGCTCCCAGAATTCCTGAGCTAACATGGCTGGAGAAGGAATTCTGGGAGTTGAAGTCCACAAGTCTTAAACATGCCAAGTTTGAAGACCCTTGATGTATTAATGTATTAGCATTCATACGTTTTATTAGTTCTGAATTGCATAGTTTATTTTAACAAGAAGAAATATTTGTATCCAGATTAAGAGGTAAAAAAAATTGTTTTCTCTTTTTCTCTGCCACTCCATTGAAAGTTATTCGTACTATTTCAATAAAGTTCTAAATACATAGTTCTGTGTTGTTTTTGTCTATCTACTATATGTGAGTATCAGTTGCAATTGCTTGGCAGCAATGCTGTTCTTTTATAGAAAAAAATGGCTGGTACAGGTAGCCTTTGACTTGCTATCATACACTTGGTGACCACTCAAAGTTACAACAGCACTGAAAAAAGTGGCTGTTTTTCACACACCATTGCAACATCCCCATGGTCACGTGATCAAAATTTGGCTGCTTTGCAACTAGCATGTGTTTTTGATGTTGCAGTATCCCAGTATCACGTGATCGCCTTTTGTGACCTTCTATAAATTCAGTGGCAAGCCAGATTCACCTAACAACCATGATACTAGTTTAACAACCGTAGGGATTCACTTAACTGTGGCAAGAAAAGTCATAAGGGCAAAACTTAACAATATCTTGCTTAGCAATGGAAGTGTGCTCAATTGTGGACGCAAGTTGAGAACTACCTGTATCTATGCCTTTTTGTGTTTAAAAAAGACATAAATCTGACCTAAAAAAAATAGCAACATTCAGAGACACTTAAGAAAACAATAGAATAACATGGAAGGAACCTTGGAGATCTTCTAGTCCAACCCCCTGTTCAGGCAGGAAGCCCTGTTGTCCAATCTCTGCTTAAAAACTTCCAGTGTTGGAAGCATCCACAACTTCTGGAGGCAATTCGTTCCATTGATTACCGGTAATTGTTCTAACTGTCAGGAAATTTCTCCTTAGTTCTAGGTTGCTTCTCTCCTCCAAGGGCAGGTGAGGCGAGAAGCCGCAGAAGTGGAGGCTGTTGAAGGGAAGCAACTCTCCTCGGGGGGGGGGGGGGGGGGGGGGGGGGGGCCCCCCCCCCCCCCCCTCGTGCGCGCTCCGGGGGGGGGGGGGGGGGGGTTGAAGGTGTCATCCTCCCCCCCTTTCCTTGCGTGCTTCCAGTTGAGGTTGGAAGAGCCCCGGCATTGTTTGGAGCTTTTCCTCAGCCGCAGTTCTGAGCTCTCTCAATCCTCTTCCTGGGATCTGAAAGGAGCCCCCACTTTCTCCCCTCCCCCCAATTAATCGCTTTCCCAGCCTTTGTCCGACCAGCCCTCCGAGGGCAGCGGTCCTTCTGCAGGCAGCTGCCTGCTGAGCTGCCTGCCCCCTTGAGGGCTGCTGCCCCCCAAGGAGAGCAAAGCCCCCTTTCTGCCTCTGCTCCCAGCAGCAGTTGCCCCGAGATCCCTCAGCTCAGCCCTCTTCCCCCCCTTGCTCTTTTATCTCTTTGGAAGGTGCGGTTAGGGGGAGGGATGGAAGCAGCCCGGCCCTCCTTCCCTGCCCCAATTCCAAGCAGCCATACTTGGCAAAGGAGGGAGAGGTTTCCTCTGACTTGAGGGAGATATGAAAATGACAGGAGACCAGGTGGGGGGGGCTCTGCTTTTCTGCCATTTGAGGAGGAGCCGGTTCCTCCACAGTTCCCAACCTCGCTCCCCAGGACAGCCCCCAACTTGCCCCCCCCTCATTCAGCCAGAGTGCTGCCTTTCCTCCCCAGATGGGCTGGTCCCATATTCCAAAGCTGTAGTTGTCACAGGACTGACCCTTTGGTCATCCCGGAGCAGCTGCATTGGATGACCAAAGAGCCAGTCCTATGGCTATTACAGCTCTGGAATATCAGACGGGCTTCTTGAAAGATGGAACACAAAAGAGGTTCCTGGAAGGCTGTGTGTCTGGAGCACGGGCTTTCTCTTGGGCCTCTTGGGCCTCCCAAGAGAAAGTGGCTGGTCAGGACAGAGCACCCCAGGGTCAAGCTAGGTTGATGTCCCCCTGCGTAGATCCAGCAGACAAAACAGGAAACTGGAGGGCAGAGAGAACTATTTAGTTGCTAAGGTATGCCAGAATGGATGCGCTGCATCCTCCAGCAACAGAACAAACATGAATTTTTAAAAAATTAAAATGAATTTTTAAATTAGTTTTTAAAAAC